TCAGAAACCTGAGAGGCATTGCAAGTAAAGATCAGAGTACCTATGGAGTCAACCAAAGAGGTCTGAGGGGGGCAGGAAGTATAAACCTGGATAGATGTGTTGGTTGAGGTAAAGAGTCTGGCAGTGTAACAGGAGAGGAAGGAGGTTGGAGGGTAACTATGAAAGAAGACAGGGGGGACAGGGGACTCCATGAGGGGATGGGAGGTTGAACTTCCACCTTCACGTGAGAGCTGGAAAGGGGGCGAGAACTAGGCTCTGAGGTAGAAGCTAGATTCTGTACAGGTGATGGACACGAAGGAAGCGTAGGTCTGCAAGGTCTCATAGACCGAGAAGCAAGCGAGCAAGATGAAGTAGAAGTGGGAAGTGGTGCGGAGGTAGGTGTGTCAAAGGATAAAACCACAAAAGAATTAGAAACTGGGGTGACCCCGGAAGACATGGACGAAGGAGGATTGAGAGGCAGGAGGACAGTCGAGGTTGGAGGTCTTCAGGCTACCCAAGCATAGGGGACTCTAGGAAACTTTCCTTGAAGGCGGAGCTGAGAGACAGCCATAGTGTAAGGCCCTCACACTCCTTAAGATAATGGATCTCTCATTCATTATGATAGACTTGGCAACGGCGTGAAAAGGAAGGATGAGGTTCCTTACAATTGAGACGAGGGGATAAGACTGCAAGACGTATTGGAATGATCTAGGGAGTCCACTGCAGATCTGCAGTGTTTAGTGGGGTGCCCAAAACACCAGCAATTATGACACTGTTGGGGAATGGGAACTACTTGACGAAACTCTAAGCAATGGCCTGCAATATAGACAGAGGACAGAAGCTCACGGCAGTCGAAAGTTAAACAAGCGATGTTACTAAGAAAGTGCCTCTGAAGGGCTAATTGTTCTAAAACATCCTAGCCGCAAGACAAAAAATCACTCTGTACAATGGTACACGGTAGACCACAGTACCACTGCAAGATTTAACCCGTAAATGGTCCAAACGTATACTATACGTTTTTACCGCTAGTGTCCCAAACGTATATATATGTTTTGTTTTTCCTGCCTTCAAATTTGGCATGATTGGCCTGATATAACTTGACAGCATAGAATGGGTTCTAACACTCAGTGTGCGCAGTATTAAAAAAAAATCTGGGACCACTTAGTACCTTGTGGGAGCACCAGTTCAAATGAGCACCAGCTAGAGCAAACAGCGCAACAAACACCTGAGATTCACTGATGTCATATAGTATTAACACTCCCATTTTAAGAGGAAAGTGATTTTGACCCTGAGTTTAGTGGCTTTGAGGTGGATGTGGCCACAAGTGGTAGAGAAAATATCAAAAAACCTCGATAATAACCCATGTGCAATATTTGTGCAGCACCCTTTCAGAATGTCTTATAACCTATGCACTAAGTAAAAAGAAACAATTCTGGCTGGCTGGCTGGCTGGCCAGCTGTGTGGCTGGCTGGCTGCTGGCGGCCTGCCTCTATCTCCGTTTGTCTGTCTGTATCTATGTCTATCTCTGTCTGTCTCTGTCTATCTTTGTCTCTGTATGTGTGTCTGTCTCTGTCTATCCCTGTCTCTCTCTATCTGTCTGTCTATCTCTGTCTCACAAGTACACATAAATACAAGTACAGTGGACCCCCGGTTTGCGATATTAATCCGTTCGATATTAAACCAAAATTATCGAAAAGCGAATCAATTTTCCCCATAAGAAATAATGGAAATCAAATTAATCCATGCAAGACACCCAAAAGTATGAAAAAAATTTTTACCACATGAAATATTAAGTTTAATGCACACAAACTGAAGAAGACATGCACAGTTTGTAGTACTCTACTAACAATAGAATACATGACACTTACCTTTAATGAAGATCTGGTGATGATTGATGGGATGGGAGGAGGGGAGAGTGTCAAACTTATTGTTTAGAAGGGGAATCCCCTTCCATTAGGACTTGAGGTAGCAAGTCCTTTTCCAGGGTTACTTCCCTTCTTCTTTTAATGCCACTAGGACCAGCTTGAGAGTCACTGGACCTCTGTCGCACAACAAATCTGTCCATAGATCTCTGTACCTCCCGTTCCTTTACGATTTGTCTAAAATGGGCCACAACATTGTCATTGTAATAGTCACCAGCACGGCTTGCAATAGCTGTGTTAGGGTGATTTTCATCCATAAAGGTTTGCAGTTCAACCCACTTTGCACACATTTCCTTAATTTTTGAAGTAGGCACAATGGATTCCACAACTGGCATAGGCTTCTCAGGGTTAGCCCCAAACCCTTCAAAATCTTTCTTAATTTCCATACTAATTCTCACCCTTTTACCACAGAGTTGGTACTAGAAGCTTTCTTGGGGCCCATGGTGACTTATTTTGCAGAAACAAGCACCAAAAACACTGTGATAATATGGAATGTACCGAATGTATCCTCAGATGCGAGCACACTGGCTGGCTTGTAAACACTGGGCCACACGTGGACACGTCTCGGACGATCGCGTATGGCGGGTTTTTTAACGGGAACAGAGGCAAAAATTTTGCGTTAAAATGTATCGAATACTGGATTCATCAGATACCGATGCCATCGCAAACCGGGGGTCCACTGTATACATAGTGTAAATTACCTAGGATAACCCAAAAAATCCAGACGAAGTGCTATACTCTGCTTGAAGATGCGACTAAAGGTGATGACGACGCAGTCTTTTGGCTTTCTCTGAGACAGAGAGCTAGACGGATAGACAGGGAGCTTGACAGACAAATAGACAGACATGTTTGTGTACCAGCGAAAACAAAGCCAGGCCCTAATCTTTTCTTATCAAGTCTTATCACTGCACCCTTGTGAATGCTCATCAAACGTCAGCTCTTATCAAATGTTATCTCATCTTATCACGTCACTGCCAGGGGTGGACTTTCTTTTTCATGCTTCAAGAAAACATCATCATCATCATCTCCATCTCCTCCTCCTCCCCTATCTCCTCCTCCTCCATCATCATCTCCTCCTCTATCTACATCTTCTCCTCCTCCATCATCATCATCTCCATCTCCTCCTCCTCCTCCATCATCATCATCATCCTCCTCCTTCCTCCAAAAATATTCCTGGGACATTTAAATACTTTGTATATATTCCAAGACAATAGTAAATGACCAAGGCAGGTGAAAATGTCCACCTGTCAATGTGTTTGTGACAATGTGATTACAATTTCAGTACCTAATACTAGTGTCAGAATAAAGATTGGTTATGAAATGACAAGAACTACTATAAATTGTAATCATCAGAACATAAAAATTATATAAAATATGAAAAATGGAAAAGAAGATATATCGGCAACACTTCTGCAAGCGGCAGGGCTCCATGTTACCGCCAGGTGATCGCCAAGTGCCAACTCTGCGGCCTCATATCTCGCCAAGTACTGACCCTAATTTTTTTTTTATCTTATAACACTTAGAAAAATGTGCTTTTTTTTCAATAAAAAAAAAAAACTATTTTTTTTATTTTTCAAAATATTCGGGGCACTGGGGTAGTGAACATATATATACGTTTGGACCATTTACGGGTTAAGAGTAGCGTGCTTATGAACTGTGACTGGTATGTTATTTATGGAAGTGATGCAGTAGAGAGCATGAGCTTGCTCTGCATTCTGTACTGTTACGACACACGCACAGCTTCAAAGAGCGTGGAAGGATATATTTTGGCCAACGTGCCATAAAAGTTTTACCAATTTCATGATCAGAAAGATAATCGGTTTGAGACGTCATCTGTAAAGAAAAGAATTTTGCCCATTGCGTACTCGTCAGCCTGGTACACAAACGTAGTGAGTGTTGCGTAGGTTGTTTTTGAACGATTATCGACGAACTGTCGTCAGTAGGTTGTCTTGGATATTTAGGAGTAGTACCATGGGTGGTCTGACCTGACGGAGGTGGGTGATCCGAAAACTGTCGCACAGTATTCGGGGAAGCCGGACGTAGTGTGAAAGGCGTGCTAGAAGCAGCGGCATGAATAAAAGCGGGCAATGCTGCAGCATCTGAAGCAGGTAACAAAGCGTCACCGGCAGAAGATACAGGGGCATGAGAAGAGTCAAAAGAATGGACTGATAACGAAGCCGTATCGGAACAGGGTGTGGGATCAAGAAGTGGTCCGGGAGGAGGAAGGGTTTCACTGGGCAAAGACTCCATAATAGAGGTGCTTCTACTGTGATATCTCCTTTCTTGTTATTTTAGGAAAAAAAGAAAGAAGGAAAGGAAAAAAAAAAAAGGAACAGCAGAGGGACAGTCACTAGGAGGGGCTGAAAGCTCCCCCTCCTCATCCAAGAGGGCCTCAAGCCCACCGGTGGTGAAGATGCAGCGTGGAACCCATACCATACCCTACCCTTCGTGCCAGTAAACCAGCGCTCCGGGACAGCAGCTTCACATCTACCGAGCTACCTCGGCGGACAAAAGAAAGGGCAGTCGGAAACTCGCCACAAAGCATACCCCATTCAGCCACCACCTCCCAGAACTGACAGGCAGCTTCCAGAGATACACTCATTACCTGAAGGGCACCCCACCCACTTCCCAGAAATCCAGGAAGGGAACAGGGCACCTTCAGATAATTCAGATTTCATGGCAAACCACACCACCCCCAAAGGACCCTACAGAGTGGGACGGGATAGGGAAGGGAGGATTGGGAGGTATTTAGACTTGGTCTAAGGAAGGAGACCAAAGGATTTGATTCCTGAGACCAAGAGCCTCTTCATCACATCAAGGAGCTTTTCCCTTGAAGAGGTCTTTTCCAGTATATTGTCAAATGTCCAATCTTCAGAACAAGTGTGACTTGATAAGACCTTGGCTGTCTCCTGCCTCTCTTCACCTGACCTGACTTTAGGCTTTCTTTTCCATTTCATCACTTACAGCATAATAATGGTAAAGGATGCACTGAAATACCACCTATATTCATCTTCAATTTGTGAATTAGTCAAGAATTATTCGTTATTTTATTTTGACTTATGTCTAAGTTAAATGAAGTGGACAGTGATACAGTGGAAGTAGACTCCCTACATGATAAAGCCATTTAATGTCAGTTGGTTTAAAGTTAAATAACAGGATCAAGACCTGGAGCTCCCTCCCTCCTGCAAACTCAATTGTATAATTATTGATTACAACACAACTGTAATAAACAATTACAGTAGAGTAAATTATCTATGCAGCATTAATTCATAGAAAAGGGCCAGTTAAATTTCAAATCCCAGAGATTAACAATGCAACAGGTAGTGTAAGTGAACAAATCCCTAGTAGGTTTGTGCATTATTATTATTACAAAACTTATATTAATATACTGTTAGAAAACAGAGAAGGAATGGTATTTCATAACTGCTTTGACTTTATTTAAAATGCACACATACACACAAACATACAAATAGGTAATTACACAAAATCTACCTTACCTACACCTGCAACTTCCTCAGTCACAACTTTATTATTATAGTTATAGATATGCACAGCTGAACAAGTATTTACAGGAGCAATGCAAATCATTCAAAAACAGTATGAACTTCTGCTTAAATTTTTGCCTTATATAACTAAATTATTACCATAATTAATAATAATGAACTTCAATAATCACGAGTACATACTGTATAATACTGCATTTAGTGCACCCAATCCCAATCCAAAACTACAACTAATCTACAAACTGCATATTATATGGAATGCTGTGATATAGGTAACAAATGAATGCCACATACCTGTTTTATTAAAAAATTAAACATTAAGAAAATAAGGGTTGTGTGTGTATTGTTATGGTATTTTGTCTTCTTTATAACTTTGTTGGGACTGTTAAAAAGCAGTGGGTATTTCATCATATTAAACGGTACAACTGGGAAATTTAATTCTACAACAACTTGTATCTTGATTCAGGGAGAAATCTTACCATTATTATTATGCTATAATGAAGTAAATTCAAAAAATGAAACAGTAGGTATTAAAGAACAATTTTTCTATTAAAATTTTCCATTACAAAAATAGACATTCTACTAAATTCTAGGTCTTGGGAGTGGACTCTGTAACCTCTACCATGGCATTAAATATTTGTTGTATCTCAAGTCTTACTGCTCCAGTATAGTTAATTCTCACAGTAACAATGAGGTCAGGCATGATAACTACTGTAATCTCTCAAAGACGGCATCCTCAGGAACAGGGCCGTGTCATTTTCTAAAAAGTTCGTTGCATTGTTCAGTACAGTATACCTGTTTCTCAAAGGTTTAGACCTATTCAGCTATTTTGACATAACAAATATTATATATTTCATTTTTAAATAACAAAAATACAATAAAGTCATCTCCACAAATCTGCAGTGTGTTACATTCCTAGTGGTCCCATTAATTTTGAATCAAAGAATGCAAAATTATATCTACATAATAAATTCAGTTTCCGATTAAAAATCATTTTCAGTTTTTACAAGCGGTCTATCTCTAAATATTCCTCTAATCTGGATAATATTAACAATTACAAGAAAAAATGTTTTAAAGGAAGAGAAATTTGGGTGTGGGGAAAGCCTGTGAAAAAAAATTTTGAATGAAATCCTTTGGTTAGTTTACAGTTTGGGGGTCTAACACACTGCTTGAAAAAATGGGTCCATGAGAAAAACTGTGGATAATCTAGTCTATCTGAGGAATGGCCATCAATAACAACAATAGACAATCAAATTATGCAAAAATGGACACGATGAATTTGTGGAGGTGACTGCATGTATATATATATATACATGTACATATATATAAAACTACTAGATTGAAAATATAAAAATGTAGATAGAATTGAACACCACATCAGAAGGGTTTTGAGACAAGATGTGCCAGTTTCTTGTAACCTTATATTAATGACTCTTGAAAAAGGCAATTTTTTGAGAATGGACTTTTAAAATAAATTTCATATATACACTAGAGTTATGTAATTTCATAGAAAATCTATAAAAATGGCATCTGATTTATCCCAAACTGGATATACATACTGTGCAGTGTATCTTGATGGATATAATATATACCATCTTAATAGTCTACAGTACAGTGGAACCTCGGCTTACGAACTTAATCCGTTCCGTGACCTTGTTCGTATCCTGATTTGTTCATATGCCGAGTCAATTTTCCTCATTTAAATTAACTGAAAAGCCATTAATCTGTTCTGGTGGAATTCCTGCTCTCAAGAGGCAGGAAAAATACACTTTAATATATTGCTAATATCAACTCTACAGCTCATTTATCTATCACAATTGATCTAATATGACATAATAAACAATATAAATAACATAGAAACCTGATAAATACTCTAGAATGAATAAAATATGTCACTGTGTGACAAGTGAAGGCGGCCATAACCGCTCCTGCATTGTTGTGGTATTCACTGCTATCTAGTGATGGCCTTTTGAAGCAGTCTATTAAAATTATAGTACATTATATTATTATTATTATTACATTATTATTATTATTGTAATGGAGAAGCACTTGTGGGGGAAAGGGGATGGAAGGTATTCAGGTGTAATTTAGAGAAATGGAACACAGATCCAATTCCCTAAATCAAAAGCCCCTCACCACATACATACTACTACTACTAATAATAATAACAATAATTATTATAATAATAATACAATATAATAATAATAATGATAATAACAACAGTAAGGAGAAACTTCAAAAGGCTGCCATTAGTTGGCACCACCATCAGCAAAACATTGGTAACCACTACTTTTCCCATCATGCCTCAGCATGATAGTGGCTTCCTTTGCCCCAATCATATTATGATATGTAAACACACTTTGTAACCTTTGCAAAGAAATAAATTATTTATTTATTTATTTAAGGAACCTCCCTTGAGGGGGAAGTACACATCCTGAAATTTCATTCGCATCCAGAAGCAAAAAATCGACAGAACGACGGTTCATATCCTGAAAAGTTCGCATGGTGGGGCGTTCGTAAGCCGAGGTTCCACTATATACTATTTCTCACATGTTAAATTGGGCTTTATCTATTTCTTTATGCAATTTCTATCTTTACAATAAAAAAAAAAATTTTTTACATCTACACCGAAAATGCTAAGCAAATTTACTTTTTCTGCTTACTAGTTCTTCACAAAATTAAAAGTCTGTATTAAATTTAATCATCAGGGTTGGATTAAAATCAAATTTATTTGTAATTTTATACTAAAAACCTATGCACAAACACTACTTTATGGTCAAGTTACAACAAGTGTGCTGAATTTTCCATCATATAAGACACTATTTATAATAAAAATCCAAAAGTCATTGTCTCATGCAGCCAAAGAAAACAAAATAACAGAGAGGGAGGTGGCAGTACAAGACAGGAAGAGAAAAGGGCTGCTTCCCACTCACCCACACACCTCATTTTCTCGTAATTCCTAACAAAAATATACAAAGTATATATATATATATGGGTATTTGTAGAGGGTATACATTTGAGAAGAGTGATGGATGGCAGTGGCAAGACAAAAGGGCATATGACTAGCTGTCTGCATACACTATATCATTTTCTGTAACAATAAAAATACAATGGCCACATGCCAGAAATAAGCAGAATGTCCTGGGATTTGCAGCAAAATATAATGGTGTATGTTATCGCTCTGCTGATACACCCCTATAAGGTATATGCATGTGAAGGCTCACAAATGGCAGAAAATGTGGCAAACTTTCAGTAACAGAATAAAAATGGTAAAGTGATGCTAGTCACTGCTCTTACAAAGGTGGCAGAGACTGTTAAGCTGCCTTCCCTTCCATTTCTCTTTCAATTCAAAAGAAAGTTACAACTTTAGTTACACTGAAAACCTGCTGACATGTGTTGCCAGCTTTCCCAATTATTTCTAGCAAAATAGGATGATGTACATGTAGGACTCTAGAGAAGAAATGTAAAAGGATTTAGCTTTTAAGCACTAACTGCTAGCTAAGCTTATCCCTTTAACTCATCAGCTGACATGTGCCTCTACTTAGCTGTTTAGTGTCACTAAATTTGTTTTTACTTCTTCCTTCTCTCCTGCCAATTTTCATTAACCCTGACACCTATAAGATTACAAGTCATGCTGAAAGTCAGAAATAGGCAAAGCAAGAATCAACAATAATATTCAAGATAACAGGAAGTGTTTTCATTTACAAGAAACTAGGGCTCAGAATCAATTAAACATTCAAACAGTAATCAGAGTTTATTAACATTTGTGTGAGGGAAAAGGTTGTAAATTTGTTGATTAAAGGAATTTCCAATTCAGGGAAACCTGCAGCCGAGATTTGCCGCCAGTCCTGCCATCTACTAGGCTTATTCAAAGATCTTGGTTCCAATCCTGGTAGTATACCTCTTACCGGGGTTTTGTCTGGAGTGAAGTTAGTCACTTCACCTCCACTTCTCTACCAATCAGATAAGGTAGTCTACCAGAATATTGTTCTTAGGGTTTCAGTTTATTATGGTTACCAGTAGTGACATTAAAGTAATGAAACTAATATCACCTTTGTCTTTCCTTTGTGTTATATGTATGCAGCTATCTGGTAACTGGTGTTTTTTTTGTTTATTGCCAACTCTCACTGCTGGGATGGTCAGCCTAAAGCAGATGCTGTCTTAAAATTGGGAACAGGATCCACAAAGACTGGATATATTGAATTGAAAGTTGCTAATACATCCTCTCCCAAGCACTGAAAGTTGTACAACTACCAAGCACAGACAGGAGTCCTTGTTAACATCCAACATGAGATACAGAATCTTCACGAACATCTCTGCTGACCTTAGAAAATATACCATCTTTTTATTTCTGGGAGAAATAATCCTAACTATTCTATATTCCCAGCCACCAAACACTGCTTCAACCTTCAGTCATAATTTTTTTTTAACACGTTGGCCGTTTCCCACTGAGGCAGGGTGACCCAAAAAGAAAAAACTTTCATCATTATTCCAAAAATTAAGCACAACACTGAGAGCTCAGATTAAGAATTGATTGTTATCCTGTCCATTTATCAGATGTTTACCAAAGTCATTATGTTATTCCATGAACAACATTTTCCTTCATTTGCAATTCATTCAAACAGTTGTTAGACTGTGATAGGTGGTACAACAAGCACTTAAAATAATGCTTCAAGATGGTTAACAATCTGTTGCTGTCCAAATCTGCTTTAACTTCAAAATTTACTTTATTGCTGCCAACAAATAAGACTGGATAATGCTATGCAAGATAAACCTGAAGTGACAAAATACAGTAATGAAAATAGAAGAGTTCTTTAACTTCAAAGATGAATAAAATCTTTGTTATATGTAGTACATTGTTTATCCCTTTTGCTGCATTCAATATACTCTATTAATTTTTTTAATTTTTATAATAAATTTGAGTTTTGTTTATTCTATACTGGTAAGAATTTATAATTTAATATCCAGTACAGAATTTCCTATTAATACATATATATTTTTTTTTCAACAAGTCGGCCGTCTCCCACTGAGGCAGGGTGACCCAAAAAGAAAGAAAATCCCCAAAAAGAAAATACTTTCATCATCATTCAACACTTTCAACTCACTTACACATAATCAATGTTTTTGCAGAGGTGCTCAGAATACAACAGCTTAGAAGCATATACGTATAAAGATACACAACATATATATACCAGGCATGTTTACACACACTAAAGTATCTCACCTTTATATAACAGTTTTCTTTTATTTTGCTGCATGCAATATTGACTTCAAAAATGTGATTTTTGAACATAGTAAATCATGTAAGACAGTATATACTAAACAAATCACTAAAAATCAAAAAGCGTCTTATATTATGGAAAATATGGTAAATTAAGCCTTCAGTTAATTTCAACAGTAAATTAAATCATTATTTTTGTATAATTTTTTATAATGGGAATATTTTAATGCTAATTAATAAAAATGTCAAAATAAAGAGCACACTTAGCAACTATACCTTTGGTTTTTTTTCTATATTTACAATTCTTTTCATAATGCCATTGTGACAAAGAAATAATACAGATTCATTTGTCTGTACCAATAAATATAATGAGAGTATGTCAAATGCTAGTATTAAAAAAACTGTTTACATGAAGAACACTGAGGTATAATCAACAAGGCAGAAATATGGTGAATGAGCAATTCCGGTAATGCAAATGACATACTGTACTTCTAATATACTATTATACTAAGTTATATATATAGTGATTTATTTAAATAAATTCTTACTATATTTCTAACCTATTGATTGAGATGGACACCTTCTCACTAATTTTCTATGCAATATTCTGTATGCATATATGTATATATATACTGGTCTTCCAAATTCTACGCAAACTGTCAAAGGGTTCTATTATAAAGATGCAGAATAAAAAAACTAAACTTTAAAATCTCCATTAGTTAATCCCTTTGCAGGTAAATTATACTTCCAATATTGTCTAAGTATATATTTGACATATTTCTCTCACTCAGTAATTTTAGTCATAAAAGATACACACCTTTTCCATTCAGGTCTCTTGGCTAAATTCTGAATCATCTTTATCTATCCTTATGTAATTTGTACCGTTTTGTGACGCGTCCACAAAACAGACCACCAACAAAGATAACTCCAATTAGTGTGATCATAATCAGGAGGAGGTAGCTCCTCTCAGGGGAGTTGGAGACACGTTCCACCAGTTCCCCCAACGTCTTAACATTCGTCAGCTGTTGAAATATAAGACAATGTACAACAAAAAAGTTATAATTCTGGTAATGTATCAACTGTCTTGATGAAACTATTACAAAATTCTGCTAAACATTATTATACACAGTAAAAGGACACACGTGCAACTAATGCGACATTTTATTGTGGCAATGTTTTGCTCTCCACGAGCTTTGTCAAGCCGTTAACCTGGTGAATGAAACATTACCACAACAAAATTTTGCATTAGTTGTACATGCATTCTTTTACCTAACGTAGTCGGTTATTCTACCAACATTATTACAATATAATACAAGAATTAAATCTCACCTTCATAGCAGCATTGTACATCTCGCGGCGCTCTCTCAGCTTTTCCCAACATACAGTCTCCAAACCACCTGGGTTTCGTTCCAAGACATCCAACAGACATGCTAAATCTGTTGATAAAATATTTCTGAATGCAGTTTCATTATGCTGTGCAGATGTGTTAATACTACAAAAAAATTTCTTTTACACAAGACTAGCTTTTAGGAACCAGAACCCATATTCCTTTGAGATATACTCTGCACCTACACAAGAACAGTACTGGAGTATGTAGAACTAGCTTGAAAGTCTCACATTAAAACAAGGAAAAAATACTAGAAATGGCTCAGAGATCTGCCAGCTTGAAATTAACAATTTGTATTTTGAGAATAGGTTTGAAAAGCTGAACCTTAATACTGAAGAGACTAAGGAATGTAGGGAACATAACCACACTTTAATGTTTTGCGAATACTAATTTAGTGGTCTATTTCTTCTCAGACTTCCAGCAAGTGTGCGTGAGCATGTTAGAGAGGAGTGATTGGAGGCAGATGGTTTTTATGACTTGCCATGCTGTTGGAGTGTGAGCAGAGTCACATTAATAGAGAGATTTAGGGAAACCGGTTAGCCAGATTTGAGTCCTCGAGGTAAGAAGCACAGTGCCTGCGCTCTGAAGGAGGGATGGATATATATTGCAGTTTTTGAACTGTAGTGTAGGCATGTGTTGCCATAGTGTGCCGAAGTGTAAACAGAAGTAGCAGGACGTATGTATTTTCTTGTGCGTTCACGAGACAAAGAAAAGATGTCAGCAATCCTGCCATTGCGTAAAACAATTACAGGTTTCTATTTCGTATTCATCTGGCACGATGGTAGTACTTCCCTGGATGGCTGCTGTCCATGACTTATTAGTAGGTATGCACTAATATGCTTCACTGTAAATTCACAAACCACGAATATTGTCAATGAGCAAGAGCAAGTGTAAAATTTCCTCAATGAAAAACAGGTCTGCAATGAGTACACTAAGAGAAAATAAGTGTCAAGGAACCAAAACTTTTTAACACTCTCTCTTCATGTCAAAGAAAAATTACCAGAAGACCTCTTTTCTTTCTTCATGAGGTAACTTGACAAGTGCCTTAAGTCAATTCCTGAATACTGGACTTCACGCTGCTAGAAACAGCATGAGTGATCTGGCAATCAAAAAGAAGGCCTGGTCTAAGACTGACCCACAATGGGCAATGAACTCCTGTAATTGACTTCATATATATAGTATAGAAATTGAAGATTCCTTACAGGAAGCAATGAAACATTTTTTTTTTTTTCAACAAGTTGGCCGTCTCCCACCGAGGCAGGGTGACCCAAAAAAGAAAGAAAATCCCCAAAAAGAAAATACTTTCATCATCATTTAACACTTTCACCACACTCACACATTATCACTTTTTGCAGGGGTGCTCAGAACCCACATTTAAAGAAGCAACTTAAAGAACACAACATATCCCTCCAAACGCCAATATATCCCAAACCCCCTCCTTTAAGTGCGGCATTGAAACTTCCCATTCCATAAACATAAACTATAAAACGAATAAATGAACATAAACTAGTATAATAAATTACTTACGGTGCCCTTTTTTTCTTCCCAAAGCACAAAATTACTATCATCAATGCCACATGGCTCATTAAGAACAGATCACGTGTAATCAGCTCGCGGACTCAATAAGTGCTACATGAATTTTACAGTCTTTTGAGCTGAGCTTCTTGGCACAAAATTATTTCAAGCACTCTTTGCATGTGCCTTCAGCATCTCCATGGGAACTCCCAACAAAAACATCATCTGTAAAAGATACAATTACTTAATTAACATCTCAAGGAATAGAAGCTTTTCAAAAATTTATGAAAATACTTGTAAGAGAATAACCTTTGATACCAAATTTAAAAGGTCAACAAAATCAAGTGACTAACCTCAAGCTTAAAGGTGGCAGGGGGTACAAGGCAAAGAGGAGCTTTTTAATGAAGTTCTTAAAAACATGAATTTGGATTATACTGTTTGTTAATACAAAAGTAATGAGCTGAAATCGATTGTATGCAGTAAGTTAATAAGTTGAACAAACAAACAAAACTGAAGTACTAAAGGTTAGCATAGCTAACACATTAGAAGTATAGCAAAGAAACTAGCAAATCTGACATACTAAAGAAACTGTTGCACTGGACAAATTATAGAGAAGAAACTACCATATTGGACATACTAAAGAAACTAACACATCTGAAGTACTACAGTTGTCCCGACAAATTCATGGGAGGAGAAAAGACAGGACATTCGTCAAGGCCCAATGAAACTTTAACCCTTTCAGGGTCCGTGCTGTAGATCTACGCCAAAATTCTAGCGGCGTCAAATTTAGCATGGAGACGCTGGAAGGCCTACATGTAAGAGAATGGGTCTGCATGGTGGGGTTGCGCCATAAAACAAAAATTCTAGCGCCCGCATAGCATTGTGGGAACGCTGGCTCAGTTACCTTTGTTCACATCCCTCGCGCAAGGCAGCCTCTCACTCCAAGGAAAATTGGGACTCCCTCTTTCCTATCTAAAGTTAATGACATAAAGGAAGTGGAAATGAAGATGAATTCTTTGGCTTTGATCAGTTAGTGACCAAAAGGGGATGACCAGATATCAATATATTAAACAAAAAAGAAGCCGCTAAGCCACAAGGGCATACACGCTGCAGGTAGGGAAGGAAGCAGGGTATTGAGCAGAAGGGAGGGGGATATCAGCAGGTTACAGAAACCCAGCGGGCAGGGATAGTACGGGTAGAGGGTAGCAAGAGTTTGAAGAAAAGAAAGGCTGAAAGTATCAATTTGTGAAGTAATCAGTCGTTGCAAAAGTCAATAGAGAGTCGATAAAGGTGGGTCCATCGCGAGAAGGAAGGTAAAAGGAAGCAGCGGAGCGAAGACGACAAAAGGGTAAATTCTGCGGCTCGTGATAAAGTGGCAGTCCACAGAATGGGGCTGACAGATAAATGGAGCTTGGCAATTCTCACAGAGAGGAGCAAAACCCCTTTCTCCATGAGTATCCAGAGTAATACGAGTATGGCCAATGCAAAGGGAGAGAGTAGTCTCCCAACCTCGACACTGGTGATAAGAAACGGCCAGTAACCTTTACTGGGTTTAATAGACTGAAGTTTGGCCGAGCATAGTAGACCAACGTTTTAGCCAAGGGTTGTGAAGTGGGAAAAATTTTACAGAAAATAGTCCTAAAGGAATACCTCTATAAGAAACTGGTAGGTCTGTACTGGCTGACCGCGCAGCAGTGTCCTGGCGTTCATTGCCCTGTACGAAATAGACCAGGGACCCAAAAAAAAACAATATCTTTATGCTTGGTAAGATGCGGCGAGCCAAAGTTGGATACGGAGGACTAAGGGGTGGGGTGTATAAAAATTTTTGTAAGCCTGTAAAGCACTAAGGAGTCCTGAGACAACCACAAATGATGAAAGCACAGATGCAAACGGATAAGGGCTGTAAGGGGATGGCAATAAATAGAAAAAATACTACCCGAAGATAGTAAATGCCTTTACGATTGTCCGGAAACACTGCTGCGAATCCTACCGTCAGAAGACTTAGACCCATCTTGTACACAGCAAGGCATGAGAAGAGAGTGAAATGGTCAAGAAAAAGAGAGCGGGAAGCGACCGAAACAGTTGGGCTTTCGAGCAAGGAGGAAAAGGGAACAGACCGAACAGCTGGAACTTCCCAGGGGGTAGGGAAAAGTGAGATGCTACATGTACAAGAAAGGTGGAGTTGAAGAGAAACAAAGCGAATGAAGGCGAAGAAGAAGGGACAGAGTAAACATGGGCGGCGAAACAAATAAAGAATGTCAACTAAATCAGTGCCATTCTATAAAATGAAGGATGGGGAGATCAGAGAGCGTACATAGAAAGCGCAGGCAATGGCCACGGCGATCGATAAGGAGGAAGGGTTCGTTTCTCATAGGGGTTTTTCCCGACGGGTAAGAGCGAAAACGTAATCCTTGTGAGAATGGGGTTGGGCAGAGAGTAACCCAGGAGATCCCGCTGAAATAGATGGTCACCAAATCAAGTTTGATAAAAAAGGTGAATGTAGGCGAAGAGGTTCACGATCAGCTCCCCACGAAATAAGGGCAAGGTTTTAAGAAGGTTCAGCCGCTGTGACAGTTGCCTTCAGAGAGGTAATGTGGGGGTTCCAGGATAACCTACGATCAAAGAGGGGGCCCCAGAAACTTGACTGATCACGTTCAGGATAGGGGAGCCATAGAGTACAAAGGATGATCGGAGTTTGACAGAGCGTCTATGAAGTGATTTGGTGGGTTTTAGTTGCTGGAAAATTTTTAAACCCATGTGTGGTGGCCCATTAAACCGTCAAACTCCCATGTTGGAGAGAAACGTAAGAAGTGACAGTCAGCGCCTGCACAGGCAATAGCGAAGTCATCAACAAGAGTGATGACCAAAAAATTTGAGGGAAGATAGAGGCCAAATCATTAATAGCAAGGAAAAAAAGTGTTGTGCTCAAACACATCCCGGGGGGACACCTTCAGCTTGGATAAAGTCCGGGGAGAGCACATTATTAACCCGAACACGGAAATGCCTGTCAGTTAAAAAGTTCTTAAGGAAGGATGGTAGTTTGCCTCGAAGGCCAAAGGGAGTGGGTTTGGGGCTAAAATTATACCTCCAATTGTGTCATAAGCCTTCTCAAGGTCAAAAAATACGGCAATAACTGAGTGGTATTCGCAAAGGCATTACAACACACGTATCCAAGCGCATTAAGGGTTCCTATGGTAGAACGTCCCTTACGAAAGCCATATTGACGAGTGGAGAGACTGTTGTGTGTCTCTAAATACCACACTAAACTCTATTTAACTAGACGTTCCATTACTTTTACTTGCAAACTGCCTGGTAAGAGCAATGGGACGATAGTGGGAGGTTTCATGTCCCGTAGTGCCTGTTTGGGGAAAAGGGGAGAACAATGGCGGATTTCCACAGCTGTGGAAGAACTCCTTGTGACCAAATAAGATTGTCAAGGCGAATAGACTGCAAGGGCTGACTGATGAAATGTTTGAAAGCATACGAATATGAATGTCGTGGGGCCCCAGCGGGCCGATGATCGACAAGCTGAGAGTGTTGCCTCCAGTTCTTGAAGTGTAAAAGGCACATTATACTGTTCTTCTCTGAGAGAAAAAAGTCCAAGGGTGCTAACTCTCTGGCAGACTTGAGGAAAGAAAGGGGCAAAGATGGAGTCCCTGAGAAAAAAACGGACCAGATGATTGCCAATTTTATTGGAACATCTAGGGGGTTTTGCTAA